AAGAGAGAAGACCCAGAGAAAGAAGAAGAACTAGACAAACCCTGAGACTACAAATTGAGATATAAAAAGTATGAAACTGTTTGATTGTAGCTCTTTCAATCTGCTATAGTTATGTCTCCCTCATCATCAATCTGCTATACATGAAAAGAAGTAACAAAAGCACACAAAACATAATAATTTTATTGCAAAATATATGAATGCATACCCCTGTCTCACCTTGCCCTCAATTTCCATTTCAGGTCTAGGGTCCGACGATTCCTTTTCCAATTCTTCGTATGATTCACTTTCATTCAGCATAGGACAGTTGTTGTTTGTTGTTATCTTTAATATCATTGGATTCAAAACATTCTTTTCTGGGTTTGGTTGATAAAACAACTCATTTTTTCAATGATTCTGGTGAAGGGAGTTCAGTTAAACAATATGTTTTGAGGATAATAAAGAATTTCTCCAAATGTTTGAGTTGCCATTTGCAAGAAAAAGAAAAGAAATCATGATTGGAAAAGGAAAATAAAGCAAATGAAGGGAGAGGTAAGGATGAAGTGGAAGCAAATGCCTACTGCAAATTTAGCTCGAAGATCACTTTTAAGATGGTCATCTATAGTTATGATCATTGTATAATGAGATGCAACAAAACCATGTTCTTTTACACTATTTGTTACGATGTAAGATTTCTCTTCACATCCCTCGCCGCCTTTATATACATTAAGGCATGTTACAAAAAATGATGTAAACTTTTCAGACTATATCATTTTTATGTAAATATATTACGCATGACACCAAGTAAGGGGAGTTATTATCGAATGATGGATTTAGAATATAATTCATTGTCGTCATGATGACAAGGAAAGAGAAATATCTTACACATGACGACATGGTAAGGGAAATATCTTACGCATGATTTATGTGTAACCCTTTATTCTATGGTCTGAGAATTTATGTTTTTTCTGAATGGACCCGCTGCTGGCCAAGCAAATGGGCAAACAAAAGATTTAGAGAGACAAACAACAAGTCGAGTTTGACTAAATTTAAATTAGTCCTAATGGTATATTTATTTTTTTACATTTGACTAAATTTTTATTAAATAAATTTAAAATTTTAAAGGCCCCCACATTTCACTGGGATGGGCCAATATTTTACAGCCCAAATCTTGCTCAGTCCGCAATGGGCAATCTTGAATGGGCCAAGTACTAAAATGTGTTGTCCGATTGAAAAAAAGGCTTAAATCTCTTAAACATATCCCAGGATTAACGCGTATCCCATTAGGAGAGGTCCGTGCCTGACCTTGATTGATCTCTCATCTAGTTTTTGATATTTTTATCCACACAAAATTCACATGGATTACATTTATGTTTTCTCGTATTAAGAATAGGATTTTTTTTTTTTTTGGATTACATCCGGGTATCCTCACAGCAGATAGCCATGAGACTAATCTCTCGCCCCGGGTCAGCACACAAAGCGGTAAAGAGCTGGCCAAAGATGCTTTCCATTCACAAGAGTTGGGGTTCAAACCCCCAACCACTTGCTTAAGGGACGAGATGCTGAACCATCACGTCCACCCACGTGGTTAGAATAGGATTTTATTAATATCATGTTAAAAGAGATAACTTATCTCATGTCATAGAGATAAACTTGTGGGCTCCACCACCTGAAAAAAAAAGGTGGCACAGTTATCGAAAGGTGTGTGAGAGAGAAATTTATCACATATAACATAAGAGTAAATTTTCCTTACGAATATTAGTTTGAATAGGTTTTGCCTTTTACCTTTACTTTTGGATCTTTTTCAATTTCCACTTTATTTAACACGTATTAATTGTATTTACAGGTGTTTGTTATATTAAGCATCTCAAAAGATGACCTATTATTCATGTATCTTCAATTTTTTTGGTATTGCCAAATTTTCGTGTACCTTATATTAAGCGTTTGTTAAATGAGATTTTTTTTTTTTCATCTTAATAATGATTCCAAAAAATATTTGAAAAAGTAAATTTTCCATAAATGCTACCAAGAAATTATTTGATAGGCTTTCCCATAAATGTTGGGTCAAGTTTTCTAATTTTATGTTTGGTTGATGGTAAGGTTGATTTTATAAACTTAACCTTTAGAAGTATGGTTAACTAGTGATCTACGATCAGTATTGGACTTCTTCTTCTTCTTTAGAGAAGACTTCCTTTTCTTTTATCTAAATTTCTAATTTATGTATACTCTATGTTCATCAGCTGCAAGTAGTCGACAAAATCACAAAACAACCTCCTAGCATCTGAAGCTGGTGAATTATTGTTGGTAACAAAATTATAGAAAAGTTTCAACTTTTTTTTTTTTGGACAAGAAGAAAACTTTTAAACCTTAATAAGTTATTGTACCTTTAATTTTTTACCATTAAACTAGTGACTATGCATACCTCTGCATCTATGCATTTATTGAGTGAGCTGAAGCGGCATGAAAGGAAAAAGAAGAACATAAAGCAGTATCATGGCTAGAGCTTTAACAAAAGAGAATACTTAAGTCATAAAAATATTAAAATAAGATTATCTATGTCTTATAAATTATGTAAAATTTTCTCACCAAGTGAAAATCCAAGAATACTATCCACTTGATGGCATTATTTCATGGTATTTTTATTCATAATTTTAATTTCTAGAAATCTTATTTTCTAGGAATATTTTAAAATTATCAAATATGGGTAATTGTGAATTTCTTGAGAATCTAAAATCTATCACTTTACCAAGCGACCCACAAGTTGCTTCGCTCGGGAATTAAATAAGATACTTTTTGTTATAAAAAAAAAAAAATAAGATACTTTTCAATCCTAATAGCTTATTCCTTGAGGCAACTCGCTTAACTATATCATTTCTTTGAATTATTTATGGGAGAAATGTTTGTCCTTTTAAATGACATAATTTATATCCTTTCACTTTCACAAAGAGATGAGACTCATATCTTTATATTTTTTTGTCCACTCTCTCTCTTCCTTTATCTATCTCTTTCTCTCACTTAAAATGACACAACTTTACATCCTTTAAAATGATACACATTTTTTTCATTTTTTATATACATATTTATTGGGAAAAATATTTCTGCAGTTACTGCATATAAGTTATCTGCATTTATTCTCAAAATGACGTCATTTTAGTATTGAAATCTTAAAAAATTATAAATATAAAGACTATTATAACCCTGAAATAAATTAAATTTACAAAAACACCATAATTTCTGCTCTAAAACGATGTCGTTTTCGAGTTATTTCATAAAAAGCGAACCCTTATAATATTAATCTTATAGTAAACATTTAGCATATTTTCCTTTTATATTGAATATTCTCTTTCACATTTAATGCTTTTATGTTTTTTGATATAGAGAATCTCATTTGCATTAAAGGCAAAATCAATATTTCACCCAGATTTAATGCATACTAATTACATTTATTATTTTCCATATAAAAAATCTCAATTATAGAAAAGAGCGTATAACATCACCGCAGAGTGTCACGGGTTTATATATACTTTATTTTTAATATTTTGTTTTGAGTAATTAGGATAATATATCATTATATTTTTTAACAACTCTATAATTTCTATTTAATATTTTATAATATTTATCTTAATTACTTGAATAAGAGTATTTGTTGTTGCTCATTTTGGTGGTTTTCACCCGGAATAGTGCATACTTGTAAAAACACTTTACACTTAAATTAGTGAAGTTACAAAGTGGTTTTGTGTAAAAGCAAAGGCAAAAATGAGAGAAAAAATTTAATGGTCCAGGCTTAATGGTCCCTCTTATAAATAAAAAATTGTTTTTCTATTTTTTTTTTCTTATATCATTTTTATATGAGAGAAAGTACCTAAAAAATTGGGTGATCCAGGAACATAAAAACACTTCTCGCAAAAAGGATATAAAATTAAAAATTATAAAGACATCATTACGTATTTATTATTTCAAACTTTTTTTTTTATAAAAATAAAAAGAATAATAATTAAGTGGAGGACCATATCATTGATTAAAGATGAAATGTCAAAATATAAAATGAAGTGAGTACAATCTTATATAACACTTTAATAATACAAAATAATTTCCATCTTCACATGTGTACCCAGTGACAGAATTAAAAACAAAATGTAAAAAATTAAAACAAAATAAAAATTAACTACAGTTAAATAATAATAAAAAAATTTAAAACAATATCCATCTAATTACGTGCTAATAAAATGATTAAATTCGGATAATGTGTGGCTTAACATTTTGTTGTTGGAGTAGGGTATGGTATAACTAGGGGTGATAAATGAACCAGAAGCCTTTGACCCGACTTGTGAAAGCCTTAGCTTATATATGTAAAATTGGTTGTTGGAACTTGAACTTATATAAAAGCTCATTTAATAAAAAGATCTCTGACTCCAAATCAAAAGTCCGGCCTTATAACCTTCCAGGTTGGTCTAGTATACTAATTTTTATTTTATTTTTTTATATTACTCATAATAACCATCTATCTCCTCAACTCATTTCATCCCACTTTATTGATTAAACAGATTTTTTGAATGATTTTAATTTATATTATGCTGTTTGAATATAAATTGAATTTATTAATCTTTATAAAATTAGTGCTACTATTGATGGTATATTCTGTTGAATTTATTAAAAAAATATAAATATAAAACAATATCTATCTAATTACATGCTAATAAAATGATTAGATTCGGATAATGGATGGCTTAACATTTTGTCGTTGGTGTAGAGCACTGTACAACTAGACAAGTGGATGATGATGATGATGGGCTTTCTTTGACTAGATGGAAAATGGTGTTGGGCCCAATAAATAAAAAGGGCCGTTGAATTGACGGACGTGGTTTTTGAAAACCAAAAACCACCTTAGGATAAAGGTGTAGATGTGGCGAATCCAACGGCAGTCCACAGAGACAGATAACCGAGGTCAGATGGTTCGCGAGTGACCTTAGTCATCTTATGTTGACTTGTTCTCAAAGTATCATTATTATTATAAAAACCTAAAACCTCACTTTCCTCTCTTACTAGTTCACTCTCACCCAACCTCTAACCTTCCTCTCTCTCGAATCAACAACCTCTTTTCCTTTGTTCTCTGATCGATCATGTCTAACTTCAAGAGCAAGTACCATGGTAGTACCCATTCTCTTGTTCCCTTACATGGATCTTGCTTTGTCTTTTTTTTCTTTTTTTTCTTCCTTTCGTAAAGTTTTGTTTTAGTGGATTTGAATCTATTCTCATATCAATTGCATCTTTTTGGATCTCACTTATTTCTATTTTTTATTTTTTTGGTGTTTGGTATTTGCTGATGCAGCTTTTTTATTTGGTGCTTTTGTGTGAATCTGTACTTGTTGATGCTACTATAGGGTTTGTTGGAGTGAAAATTTTAGATCCAGTTTTCTATGGAAAATTTTATAAAAATCTTGGTCCTGAATATTTATCCCTTACGGGGTTTTATTCAGCTTGTAGAATTTTGCATCTGAATTGCTATTTTCTTTATCTTCAATTGTTTTTAAGCCCTGCAGCTTTTTTTTTTATGCTCTATTTTGAAAGTCAGGTCCCAAATTGCTTTATATGTAATGTAATGAAGCTTCTGAAAGCAATGTCTTTTTTTTTTTTTTTTAATTTAACATACATACCTGTTGCCCGTTTATTTTGTTCTTGTTTTGGGTTTGGTTTTTTGGGCGTTTTTGTTGTTGTAGTAAGGTTTATATTTGTGTGCTGATATTAACTAATGACTTTGCAGATGAGCTCATTGCCAATGCTGCCTACATTGGCACCCCCGGAAAGGGTATTCTTGCTGCTGATGAGTCAACAGGAACCATTGGTAAACGTCTATCCAGCATCAATGTTGAGAATGTTGAATCCAACAGGCGTGCTCTTCGGGAGCTCCTTTTCACCACCCCTGGAGCTCTTCAGTATCTCAGTGGAGTGATCCTCTTTGAGGAAACCCTGTACCAGAGCACAGCTGCAGGTACTCTCAACAATCTTAGGATCTTATAATATCTTATAGTTTTATTCTTGTGTTGATGATGAGCATTGCATCAATGGCTCTGAACATGCATCATTCTACCTTTTTTTTTTCTCTTGACCCTATATATAATATAACCATGTTGGATCATTTGCATGATCAAATTTGTGTCTTTTTATCCTGTTATTCAAGAATCCAAATCCCTGCAAGAATGCTCTCTATTTCCAATTTTGAATAACCTGGTCAAGTGGTTTTTTTTCTGATGGGGTTGTTCTCATTTGCATGTATCTGTGTTGTTGTCTTATTTGAATGAAGATAGATGATATGGCATTGTTCTTACACTGACATCATGAATGGATTTTGTACAGGCAAGCCCTTTGTGGATGTCTTGAAGGAAGGTGGTGTGCTTCCTGGTATCAAGGTTGACAAAGGCACAGTTGAACTTGCTGGGACTGATGGAGAAACCACCACTCAGGGTCTAGATGGCCTTGCTCAGCGCTGCCAGAAGTACTATGAAGCTGGAGCACGCTTTGCCAAATGGCGTGCTGTGCTGAAAATTGGCCCCAACGAGCCATCTGAGCTTGCTATCCATGAGAATGCCTATGGATTGGCTCGATATGCTGTCATATGCCAGGAGAATGGGCTGGTTCCTATTGTTGAGCCTGAGATCCTGGTTGATGGACCTCATGACATTCACAAGTGTGCTGATGTGACAGAGCGTGTCCTTGCAGCATGTTACAAAGCTTTGAATGATCACCATGTCCTTCTTGAGGGTACTCTGTTGAAGCCAAACATGGTGACCCCAGGATCTGATTCTCCAAAGGTTGCCCCTGAGGTTGTCGCTGAGCACACTGTTAGAGCTCTTCAGAGAACTGTTCCTGCTGCAGTTCCTGCTGTGGTTTTCTTGTCTGGTGGCCAGAGTGAGGAGCAGGCTACCCTCAACCTCAATGCCTTAAACCAGGTCAAGGGAAAGAAGCCATGGTCTCTTTCTTTCTCTTTTGGAAGGGCACTTCAACAGAGCACTCTCAAGGCATGGTCTGGAAAGGAAGAAAATGTGAAGAAGGCTCAAGAAGCCTTTCTGACAAGGGCCAAGGCAAATTCAGAGGCAACTCTGGGAACTTACAAGGGTAATGCCCAACTTGGTGAGGGTGCCGCAGAGAGCCTCCATGTTAAGGACTACAAATACTGATCGAGGTTACTGTTATCTTAGAGACTAGTGGATATGAATTGTTATTAAGGGTTCTGAGGGTTAATGGAATTTCGGTTCATGAGTGTTGTGGTTGGACTTGTGACAGAATAATCGCTTTAAGTTTTGCTTTTTTGTTTTTCCCGTTATCTTTCGGTCATTTGAGTTCTTCTAGTATATTGGTCAAACCCGTGCTGAAGGCAGGGTGATATAACTGTGTTTTAAGTTTGGTTCTTAAAAGACACTATTCTGAGTGAGGGTTTGAGTTTATATTGCAATTATTGGGCTTTGTTTTCACAGTTATATTTCTGCTGTCAGTAGTTTCTCTCTTATTTAATCAAATATTTTAGATAAACTTGTGTTTATTTTTGGTTCAAAAATCAATAGTATTCAATATTTTTCTGTCAAAGTCATTAAATCTTAGTATTTACTTGCAACATAAAAATGGTAATTTAAGTACTATTTTAATTTTGGTACAATGTTTTTCGCAATATTTTATTTAAACAAAATTTTAATAAAAAAACCATATAATTATCAGAGGTCGTGTCTTAGGTTTATTTAATATTTTGTTTGGTCTTTGTACTTAGTAGTAGTAGTAGCATTAGCGCAACCCTTGGAATACCAATCCACATTTCAATTTTGTTTCATATAAGTATTGTCTGTAGTTTATATATAATAGATTAAAGAAAGTCACGGTAGGAAAATTTTCAATAACATCATTTTTTTGGCTTCTTGTCTATGACCAATGTTATTAAAACTGGTCAGGTCATTAACCCGGTTGAGGTACTGGTTCAATCAGTGGGTCCTTGGTTCAACCACATGACCTGGTAATTATATGTAATTTTATAATTTATATTAAAAAATTATAAACATACTCAAATATCTAAAAAAAAATGATAAAAGTTTCAAATATTTTAATATAAAAAATAATAAAACACATATTATTATCCAATAAAGGATCAAACAAAAATATAATGATCGTGATACAGAGTTTTAGGTTCAGAAAATGATATTTTAACTATAAATCAAATTAAAATTTTCTGAATAGTGCATAATTGAGATAATATTAGTGTTGTAGGTATATAACTTATGTAAGTCAATAAGTAAAAAAAATTCAAATATGTCTATTATGATTTTTTTTTTAAAAATAAATAATTTGAATTTTTTTTGGACCGAGTCGGGTCACCGGTTAACCAACCAGGTCACCGGATTTTATGAAAATCGGCCGAGTCAAACCGGGTCATACCGATTTTGCTGCATGACCGGTCTGTTACTTTAACCGGACCGGTCATATGACCAATTTACCGATTCCCAAATTGACCCGGCCGGATCGGTCCTATTTTAATAATACTACTATTGACTGTGCTCACTATAAAATATATTTTATTAATCATAGATAAGTGAAAAAACTAAGACACGACCTCTGATAACTGTTACATGTTTTTTTTTTTAGTAAAATACTTTTGGTCTTCAATAAATATCAGAGTTTTAATTTAATTCATTTCGTTAAGGAAAAAAAACCGATTTGCGATCCTTCTAAAATTTAAAATAATTTCATATTAGTCTTTTTGAGAGATTAAAGTTAGTCTTCTTTAAATTTTAGAAGAATTATAATTTTGACTAATTGAATCTATTTTAAATTTCAGAAGGACCACACAATATTTTTTTTAAGGATTAAATTGGACCTTGTAATTTTTGTTAAGAACTCAAAAGATACTTTATGATATATATATATATATATATATATATATATATATATATATATATATATAATTATTTAATTATGCTTATTTTATTCAATTATTTATGATTAATGTCACCTTACCCTCACTTTTTTTTTAAGTAATCAAACACCTATTCCCGTAATATTAATATTTCAGTAGTATTTAGATACGATCTTTGTTCGCGGGTAGTATTCAGTGTTTCCTTTAAGTAGGAAACACTAACTTTTGAACTGTATATTTTTTAGATGATAGAATAAATAATAATAATGTCTAAATGTTATATAAATAAGATATAATAAATTGAAAACGCCTTTGATTAGGAAGCAATTTAACTTTGCCATGGAGGAGCACAATTTTATTTTATTTTATTTTAAATAAGGAGGGGCCGAAACCCCAACTAAGTTTAAACTCTAGGAATAGCCGAAACACCAATAAAATCCTAAGAAGAAGAAGGAAATGATCACATCTAACAGGGAGAACATCTAAACATGTAATCCCAAAAGGGCGAATGGACATCTAAACATGTAATCCCAAAAGAGCGAATGAGTGTGTTTTACTTGAATTCTGATGCCCAAGTCAATGTGTAATTAAAAATGATGCATACCTAATGGGTGCACCCTTATATTTGTCGATAATAAAGAGTAAAGTTATATTTATAATCTCTTTTTGCTTATAACTCGTACAATTAAATCTTAATCGTTGATTTTTATTAATATAATGGTTATAATTTATTGTGAATTAATAATTAATTTTTATAAATATGACTCAATAAATTATAATCGTTAGATTGATAGAAATCAATAATTAAAATTTAATTGTAAGAGTCTGTAAGCGAAAAAAAAGTTATAAATATAACCTTCTTCGGTGATCTTTGGAGAGAAACTAACTAAGATATGGATCTACTATTAGAAAAATCATTTTGTTAGTTAACCCTTCACCAAAACTACGATAGAAACGTGTACAGACCAATTCTTTCTCTGCGAAAAAATCAGTAGCTTAGATGGGAGCTTTTGAAATGTTTTTTACTAAATAAATTGATAAACTTATTTACAAATCAAAATAACATAAACAAATCTTTCATAGACTATTCTTGGGAATATGGCAGCTGGCAAGTTTACTTATTTGATCTTGACAAGCTATATGGTGAATCAGTTGCATATTTTTTCTTGTAGAAAAAGATGCAAACTAAAAAAAATAAAAATTGAAAACCGGTGTAAAGATTTTCTTGGCAGGCAATATGTAATTCTTTTAAAAAAATTTAAAAAAGATTGGAGCCGACTCCAGTGGAATACATGTGTCTAATCTCACATAAACTATTAACTATAAAATAAAATAAAATAGAAAAGTGTCTGAAGAGATTCATCTTGAAGGAGTCACATGTCAAAGCCAACACTCGAAATTTTTCAAACAATATTTTAAACTTGACCTATAATTGAACCTTTACGGTTTACTGATTCAACAATAGTTAATCATACTCAAACAGGTAAAATTAAATATATTTTAATATTATGTAATACATTGAGTACGTTTAATAATACGTTAAAGGGTACGTTTAAAATGTACTCCTTCACTTACTAAAAAATATGTGCTCCTATATTAATAAATTTTCATTCAGAACTTTTAATTTATTTTAATTATTTGTCATTTTATAAAATTAAGAAGAAACTAATTTTTTTTAATTTGTTGATATTTCTAATAAGTGGAATAAAAATAATATTAATGAAATGAAAGGATAATTAGGTTAAATATATTTATAATTTTACAAAATTAAAGATATTTAAAAACTTTTTAATGCTGGTAGAAAATTTAAATGGAAATTATTTTAAAATAAAAGGAGTGCTTTGTTATTATAAAATATTAAAATATAATAAGTAGAAGTAGTACCAATCAGGTATTGTTTGATTGATTGGTACATCTGAATTGTTTATTTTGTTTCTAGTCTTCGCTTGGAGTTTTGTTGTGACTTTTCTTCCGTCCAGTTTAATAAATTTGTTCATTTGTGAGGATTTTCATATTTGATATCTAAAGGACAGATACATTTGTTTTTCGAAGCAACCATGGTGACAATTTCTGCGAAAAAGGAATAATACCAAACTTACAAATGTTTAGTTTTTCTTACGCTAGTAAATATGACTGCGTGTAAACATGTCGGTTTAACAAAATATAACATGCATATGAACTTAGTTGATGGGCCCGGATCTTCAGGACTTGAAAAAATAACTGCAGCTCCTGCATTTCAGTTGTGTTCTAAAGGCCAGCATTCACTAGATTATATGCTTCTTTAATATTTTCATACAAGAAAAATAATTTCAAGGATTGAGATGCTCTGCTACTGCAGGGGATCCTCCTACCTTCCGCTAGAGTGTGATTGGATCGAATTGAACCAAATTTTTTTGAGAACTGAACCAAATTAATTTAAACAGTTCAGTTCGGTTGAAAAACGATTTGGTTCAGTTCGAAACTCATTCGTTTGAAACCAATTCGGGTCGAACTTATTATGAAAAGAAAAAATAAATAAAAATAAATCAAAGAAATAAAATAATAAAACAGTTCAGTTCGATTTGAAACCGATTTGGTTTGGTTCTTGAACTGATCTTAAAAAATCAATTCGGTTATTGAACTCTTTCTTTAAAAACCAGTTCGGTTCATGAATAGTTGTCAAAAGTGATTATTTTAAGTGCAATTCCATTTACTTCATAGTTCATTTTTTTGATTCTTTTGTACATCACTACCTTCAGTTAATATTGCCAAAAAAAAAAAGGTAAATTGACAATCGAAATCCGAGGGTAACATCGTTATATATAGAAGTGTAAATGGACCAAACGACTTAATTGGAACCTATGACCCAACTTACAACAAGTCAAACTCGACTTATTACATATAATCAAATAGAAAATACTCAAGCTTTTAAAAAAACTTATTTAGAAAGCAAAATATAAACTTTCTTTTACATGTCAAACCGATAAACTTATAAACCAACTTATATCATATTATTTATTTTAAATAAAATTATTATTTTAAATAATAAAACAATATATTTTAATTATTATATATCTAATAAGCTTAAACTAACAAACCTATGCTAAAACTTTTTTTTTTTAAATATAAATCAAATCAGACTTATAATTTAAATCTACACAAGTTAATAGACAAGCCAAACATAAAATATTAGTAAGTCAAAATTCAACCTAATCTAAGCCAGTTTACACCCCTACTTATATCACCCATAAGGCCATAACCAAGAGGATAAACTAAATTCAATCCCAAAACAAAATTGAAACGGTGAAACTGAATCCAACAGCGGCAACGCGAGTCTAAACACTAAATGACGACTAGGTTACCAGATTTTGCAACGACTACCATATGCACATATTTATATGTTATATATTCTTACAATAAGTCAACCCTACACGCCTCCTTAACTGGCCCAAAAAAGCAATGGAGGCAAATTCCGCAGAGAGGAATGATCTCCTAGTACGCAGTAGAAATTCTAAGATATCCGCATATATTAACAACGACTACTAGTAAGACCAGTACAATGGCGGAAACTGCAAGAACAGAAGACCACATAGCACGATTGGTGGAAGCCTTTGATGTGTAACGGACCCTTCTCTCCTCCAATAAAAAGTCTTTTAACCCAAAGATGGATTCCGCAGTTGCAACATGTTGCTGAGAAATCTTTCTTGTTTCAGCTGACTGAGGAGATGTCTTCTCCTGTTCATCCACATCATTAGCATCAGCATCAGAGGCATTCTCAACAGCAGCATGGTTTTCTGAAGCTTCCCTCTCCTGCAAAAGAGGAACCCACAAATCTCACAACACATGCAGTAACATGCCCGAGTCAGATACACAAGTAAAATAAACAAACTTCTTACCCCAGCAATGGTGGTTTTTGAATCATGGTCTTCTGGTGTACAACTCCCATCTTTTGCCGTCTCATTGGAATCAAGCTGATGCGCAACAACCAATCGTAATCTTCTTGGTGCATCACCTTGCCCCATCATAGGGTTTTGAACCATATCCGGTTCATTTCGTCCTTGTCGATTCCTTATCCTGATTCCAGTGTCAACCGTATCATAGTTCCTTGATTGCTCGTAATCATTGTACACTTGGCCCATACTAACATCAGTTGACAAAGCCATCTGGGAATTGTTCTGAAATAATCCTACATCGCTCTTCTGTTCAATTGCCTCCTTAGGATAAGTACCATGTAATGATTGTCGAAGCTGCAACACACAATATTACCAACAATAAACGGGTGGCACAAAAAGGGTTAGATGCTGCGATTTGATGTGTATTTAGAGGGCAATTAGCATAAAAACATTTATTAAAAAAAAGGGTTAGAGCTTCCTCTGGGTGTTTCAAAACTAACAAATGTCATTTTGAAGGCAGAAACCTAGATCGACCAAAACATAAAAAGAATTAGAGCTGTTACTCACCCTCATATTGGCCATTCCCACATCGGAGTCAATGCATGATCCATTGTCCTCAACATCAAGCACAGTTGAGTTCGGCTTTAGACAGCTGGACCGCTCATAGGAGCACTCATCCCAATTAACAACCGAATCAAAGTAGTCTAAAATATTAGTCTCATTTGTACCATACTGATGTTGCGGCCCACAACAGCCATCTAATTCATTGTTTGCTTGATAATAAAATTCTGGTGGAATCACGTTGAGTGGGGAGAATAATTTGTCATCCCATTGCCCATTTAGGTCATAAAATATGTCCAAGTTCAATAGCTGATCCTCCTGAAGTAGTAAACATCAAGTATAGTTATTACATTAATGAATCCAATGTCTGCAAATCAATTAAGGGAGAACGAAAACAAGAAAAAGAAAGGAAGAAATAAAATATTAAAACACAGTTAGCCCATTTAACCTCTGCAGCCGGCTGTACAATTTGATTTAGTGCATCATAAGCATCACAGCCGTTGCTATGGCAATCAACTGGGGTTATAACGTTGGATATTGCTTCCTCAGAGTTCTCAGCGATAACTACTAGGTGCTTATCGTCTTCTGTGGCCTGTGAGGAAGACACTGGAACGAGAGTTGGATCAGATTGTATTTCTTCTGGAGAGTTATTGGCAGTTGTAGGAGTTGAAGCAGTCTGCTCCACTTCGTCACAGTTTGAAGCTTCAAGACTCTCATCTTGTTTCTTAAATAATCGACAGAGAACATATGGATTCTGGTTTAAGTCAAATCAACCAAATTGAAAAGTTAGCAACATATCATCATCATCATCATATAATTGCTTAGCTAGCGATAAATTGCAGTAGCTTTATGTTAACTTATATCTATACACCTGTAGGCAGTATTGCATAAGGTTTATGAGGAGTTGGACTAGAGGTAATGGAAATGTGTGTAAGGCTGCATTCAAATTCAACTATAAAAATGAAACACAAGATGACCAAGAACATTTAGAATAACAAAAAAACTGGGTAGAGAATTAATTCAAATAGTTATTAGATACAATAGTCAACATGGCTGATTCAGTCACTAAAAAAAAAAACTTTCCATAGACATTAAAACCTGGAGAAGTATCAAATTAAAAAACAAATATTTTCTGCTTTACCAAATAGTAAAAGTAGGAAAACAGCAGCCCTCCAATTTATTTATTTTAGACAAGAAACAAAACTATAAAATGTCTCGTATGTAAAATTAGCATTCTATCACACTTAAGAAACGTAGGAAGAAGAACAAACTTAAACCATCATTCATCAAACAGGGAAAAAAAAACCATATTAACATTTTATATATTCCTATTACAAATCACAACGATTCAACGTCACAACACCATGAAAACAAAGATCAAAAGCAAATATAAAATAACAAATACAAAAAGGAGATGGGGGAATAAAACCTGTCCAGGATTGGTGCCATCAAGCTCCTTGAGGGTAGGCCTGTACTCATGCATAACCCAATTGGTCCTCTTCCCTTTGGGAGCACGACCAGTGTAGAAAACTAAAGTCTTCTTCATTCCAATCAAGGTGGAACCAGACTTAATCCTACGATCCTTGCCCGTTGCCTTCCAATAACCATGACTCGTTGCTCGGTTCAACCTGTGTCCATTTGGATACTTGCGGTCTTGAGGACAGAAGAAGAACCACTCTGGATCCTTGTTCCTTACCACCGACAAATCTAACACAAACCAAAAACCCCAAATCAAAAAAAATAAAATAAAAATTAGCCTGTCATCCAAAGCAATGTTTGTGATTCTACTCCAGCAATTACATGTCTAATGCATATAAAACTCAGAATTTTCCAAAAAAAAAAAAAAAACTTAAAACAATCTGAGCAAAAATAATTAAGCAAGTTATTAGAAATTCACAACCAAATATTGTAACTTTTTAAAGAAGGGGAAATAAAAATACCAGGCAAATCCCATGGCTCCCATCTGCAAACATCAATTTCGCGAATTACCCAAACATCAGCTCCATTTCCATTGATCTTTTGGCGCAAATAGTAATCCACGAGCTCCTCGTCGGTGGGACGGAATCGAAAACCCAACGGCAACGAATTTAGAGACAACACTGCGATCTCATCCCTACGCGGCGGCGGCGGCGCATAACAATCCACGGCAGCACCCATCACAATGGAATGAACATAGAAAGACAACGAAATAGAAAAATAAAATAGAAAAATAAAAACAAAAGAACACTGTGATGGGAATCAGAGAAGAGGATTCAGAGGATTTTAGCTTCTTCTTTTTTTCTCAACACACACAGGTAAAGGAAAACGCTGAGAAACTGAGAAAAGAGAGAAAGAGAGAGAAGCTAGTGCAGGCTACGACTAACAAGTATTGGCTTGGCACACAGTTTAATTAATTAAAATTTTAATTCCTCGTATATACCATTTTATTAGCCTGTTAGCCTCGTCTTTCGAATAAATCACAATAATGCCACTGTGTCAGACCCGCTTGAATCGAGGGGGTTGGTGGGAAATAGTACCCAGCTGATGTTTGACACGTGTCACCAATCGGAGCCTTTCATTACTTGCTGAGTAAGAAAGCGGGAGTTACCTTCGGAGCGTGTGTGAACATGTACCATAAGCAAAAGGACAATATCTACGGGTAACCACCTCAGCGTTTCTCTCTCTCATCACATGGCTTCTTTTACTTTTTCGCTTATTACAGTGCAGTACATTGTATATTTGTATAGTAGATTTTGTTTTTTATTTTTTATTTTAAGGTATGTATTTATAATCCAACCTTTAAAAGGTAAAGCAATTGATAAGATATTTATGGCTCTCCAAGTTGGAATTTTTGTTTCTTTTAATACATATTCGAGTTGGATTCTCTTAGCACGAAATTAAGTAAAATTAAAACTATAAAAGGTTGTTCTATTAATAATAATTTCATTTTTGGAAATCATTAAATTTGTTAATGTTAAACTTTTTATTAAGATACAATTCCTTTTGACATGCCTGTTGTATCTGTCTACGTCCTAGATAAATTATATGTAGGTTATTAAATGTGTGTTGTTTTAAAAATATAAGTTAAAAATATTTAAATTATAAAGAATATACGTAATTATTTCAAAATAAATTTAACTTATTTAAAATAAATAAAGTCAAAAATACATTGTCATTCCCTAAAAATAAATAAATTAAATCTCTCTAAAAAAATATACTTCAATCAATATATTGGAATGATTAATATAAGGTGTCTTTAATCAACATAAATATGTCAACAACATTTAGAAGTACGAATGCGTGCAGATTAGACTAGATCGGTTTAGAGAAAAAAAAAATGAAAAAAGAGAGAGTCAGGTAATCCATCTAGTTTATTTTGTTATGATACTAGTTTCTTACGTGTGCGTGCGTCCCACGAAGGAAAAAAAATTGATTTGTTTGTCTTGTAAAAATTAATCAATTTTATAAACTATAAATTACTAAATTGATTAGATTGAATTATTTTTTATTTTCTGTTACAATTGCTTATGTAAATCTAATTTTATAAACTATAAATTTAAACTAATTCATAAGTATATGCTAAAAATTAGTTTTAAAAAATTCGTCAAAATAAAAAAATAAGTCTAAACTCTCTCTCTATATATATATATATATGAAAAATTATTTCTAACCACTTCAGATAAGGTTGTTTACAGTTATCCCTTTTAACTAAGTCTGACCAGTAAGACATAAAAATTGTATTTTCTCTCTTTGTCACGTTAGCCGACAATGTCGAGAAAAAAATAGCTTTATTGTTATAACTATATCTTACTAGTTAGACTCAGTTAAAAAGAGATAGCTATAAATAATATTATATAAAGTGGTTTAGAAATAATTTTTCATATATATAAAGAGTGAGAGAGAATTTAGACTTATATTTTTAAAACTAATTTTTAGCATATACTTATGAATTAGTTTAAATTTATAGTTTATAAAATAATGTTATCTAAAGTAATTTTGTAAAAATATTTTTTCTATATAAAGAGAGAAGAAAGCTTGACACGAGATATCGTAAAGAAATTTCTAAATAATCGTGGATAATATAAAAAATTCTAAGGTAACTTTTTTATTTTTATGTTTTCAACTTTTTTAATTTTTGGTAGACATGTTTTCAACTTTTTTAATGACTCTGTTTTGTTATATTTTTGAGAAATTTTTTAATTTAAATAAAATTTTGAACACCTCTAATTTTAAGATCACATATAGTTATTGAAAAAAAATACGATGAAACTATTAGTTTAGTCCTTTAAAAAAAATACCTGATATCAATTTAATTTTCAAAAGCTTTTGACGTCAAATTAGTCTTAAAAAATATAAAGTGATAGTAAAAATGTTTGAAATAATATTACCTAAAAATTAAATTGATGCTATTTTAAATGAATTTAAACCATTTTCGTGTTAATTTGTATTTTTGAAAGATTGATTTAATGTGACAAATATTTGAAATACTTAAATTAATGTAAAATAATTTTTAAGGAATAAAATAGTAATTCACTAAAAAATTAATATTAATATCTTTTAATTAAAATAACATCAAAATAAATTTTCTATAAGTACCACAAAAAGTTAATAATAGTGTTAATAAAGCCTTCGATATATAATTAAATCAGCATTTCAATAATTATAATTTTATATTAATATTAAATTATTTTAAAATATAAATTAATATTATTTATCCTTAGTTAATTAAATGAATAATATTTTTTATCAACAAAAAAATAAATTAATATCACTCATTTTTTAAGAAAATAAAATGAGTGTCTGATCATGATGACATGGCATCTGAGGGAAGACTTATGACCTACAGTATATGACATATGAGAAAAGCATAAGCTTGAGTCACCGAACAGTTACTTATATATAAATATGAAAAAAAGTTCAGTTTAATAATTTAGTATTCCGTAAGACAAGTTTATCTTATGATCTACATTACCATAACAGTTGGTAGATAGCTTTCATCATTTATAATTATTAGTAAAAAGAAATATTAAATACTAATATAATTATGTAGAATTTTTGGAGAATTTTTTACGTAGAAATTTTCTGTCAGATATTTATGTAGAATTCAAATAAAATAATAAACCAAGTTGACACATTAAATATTAATTTTATAACATGTTAAAAGTTAAAATCTGAATACTTGAAAATAACAAATATAAAAATTTAAAATGTCAAAGCATGATTAAAAAGTTGAGAATCTTTGTATAATGAACTATAATACAGGATTAGTATATACAATAGTTCATGTTGTTTTCCTTTTTATTTAATCAGCGATAAGGTTTAACATTAAGTTGCTTTAAAATATGTTAAACGAAGGAATTTATAATATTTTTTCTGGAATAAAAGGAATATACTCTTGCTTGCTTTTGGGCTAGTTTTGAAATTACATTCGTTGTATAGAGGTTGGTGACTTACACATGCTTGATTTTTACTTATTTTTTAAGTACAATTTGCTATTTTGCTTAGTGACTCATCAACCGCTGAAGCGTACATAAGTAGAGGTGGTAAAATAGGTCGGTCTGTCCTAACCCGACCCATCCCGTTTTGTGGTAGGTTGATGGGTTAATCTGTCTAAAAAATTTAAAATAAATTATATTTTATTAATTTTATGACCCGACCCATCCCGTTTTGTGGTGGGTTGATGGGTCAATCTGCCTAAAAAATTTAAAATAAATTATATTTTATTAATTTTATAATATTTCTTATTTTCATTTCACAATTCCTTTAGTTTTTTTTTCTAATCTCAAACCTAAATGTATACTAATATTCAGTTAAATATTTTTTAGGAATTTATTTTTGTCTCAATATATGGATAACTTTTGTAATAAATAAAATTTTTATTTTTTATTTTTTCTAGGGGAGTAAAATAAAAAATTGACCCGCGGGCCAACCTGTCCCGACCCACCGCCAACCCGTTTTGACCCACAATTAAGCGGGATGGGTTACGGTGGGTTGATGGGTTGAAAAGTATAATCCAACCCGCCCCATTTTGGTGGGTTGACGGATTGACCCGTCGGGTTCAACTCAAATTGCCACCTTTATACAGAAGTTAGGGTATTTATCAATTGATCCAAAATTTAATTGCTGTAATTGAACCGAAAAATCAATAATCGAATTAATCAAAAAAAAAATCAAAAAAAAAATCATATATTTTGATTGGATTGGATCAATTTCGGTTTGGTTGGTGAAACTCGATCCAATCTAATTTGATAAAATATATTATGTATTTATTATTTGGGAAAAATGTTTGTCCTTTAAAGGATATAACTTTAGGTCATTTTATATCTTAGCCGTTGATTTCCGTCAATCAACGGTTAAGATTTATTGGGTTAAATTTATTAACTAATTATTAATTCGCAATAAAATCCAATAAATCGTAACTGCTGATTGATGGGAATCAACGGTTACGATCTAAAATGACACAAAATTATATCCTTTAAAAGAACAAACGTTTTTTTCCCTTATTATTTTTAAAAGATAGTGACTTGAAATCTTATTATTTTGTAAACTTGGAATCTTAGATGTTATTGATAGCAAACTAGCTTGTTTTTATTTTTTAATAGGGTTTGTTTTTTCTCAAGTTACTTCAGATAACTTTATCTAATGTTCACCAAAACGACGTCGTTTTGGGATGGAAATCATTATGTTTTTATAATTTTAATTTATTTCAGGATTATAATAGTCTTTATCATTCTAATTTTTTAATTTTTCATCCCCAAAACGATGTCATTTCGATGAACATTAGACAAAGTTATCTAAAGTAACATTATATACTTTTTCCCTTTTTGTTATCTATTAAACTATTTCAACTCATCATGAGTTTTAAGACTTGTTTTAGTTTTAAGACTTGAATTTTCCAATTATTTATGATTTTGAATAAATTTATTTGATATAACTAGTGGTATGTATGGCTGAAGATTTAGGTTTTTTGAAAAACCAAAAAAATGATCCAATCCAGACCGAATAAAATTTGATTAGATTGGATTGGATTTAAATAAAATACAAACTGAATGGATAATTAAATAATCAAATCAAAGGAATTGGATCGAATAATTTTTACGACAAAACTGATCAAATTCAGACCACGAACACCCTAGCATGAGCTTATCTTTGGTAAGTAAAAAGACAATTTAATTTAGTAAATATTATAATATTGAATGAAAAAATGAAAAATGATTTTTTTATTAGACTAAATCGAAATTTTGGTCAAAACTTAAATCTATGGGTTTATCATTTATCATTTAACATGACCACAAAAATTTTCTTACACACACAACATTTTGTGGGGCCCGCAGCAAAAATAAAAAAAAAAATCGGCACGCAAAACGAATCTCTATAACATAACACAATCACTTTTCCTACAACATAACTCTTATAAAACCCTAAATCTATATAGATTTAACGTTTCTCATGTTATAAGAGTTAAATTTATCTTCTACACTCACATAAAAATATACGTGCTCGTACTTTTTTCTCTCTCTTTTTCTCACATGGGCATCACACACTTTTATGCATAGTTGTAAAACCCGGCGAACCGGTCATCGGACTGGTTCGGGTTAAGCATTGGAACGGTCACGCATCGACCCAGTCAAACCTGGATAAAATCGGCCAAACCCGGTGACCCAGTGACCCGGTCAGGTCATATATTTAAAATAAAAACAAAAAAAACCAAAATTGTTTCATCTTGTCAAAAAAAATGTAGAGCTCGTTTTAAAATATTTTGTAATTTCATTTGCTAGTATACTCTTCTACAATGACCTCAAATTTTAGCTTCTAATACTGAAGCAATTTATAGAATAATAAATTAAGAGAATGTGATATATGTCATTTTAATGTAGTTAAATTTGAAAAATATGAGTTCAATGTCATTGAGAGGTATGTTTATGAGGATTCTGAGTTGCAATTTAAATTTACATAGTAAGAGCATTCATTCATTTTTATTTATTTATGCTTCTTGTTTTTTAGTTTATTTAATGAACATTGTTTAATTCATTTGAGATATGGATAATATAAATGAATTTATATGTTCACATTTTTATATATCTATATATATCCGGGTCAACCAGTCCGACCAGTGACCCAGTAACCCAGTACTCCGACCGGGTCGATGCCCAGGTCGAGTTTAATAACACTATTTTATGTGTGTATAAGAGATAAATTTATCTCATACAATGTGAGGAACATGAAAATACACACACATATATATATATATATATGAGACTAATATTTGTTTTTTTAAATAATATAGAATTATTGTATTATATGTTAAGAGAAACAGAAATCATGGTGGAGAAAGTGAGAATTTTTTTAATTTAAATATTAAATAAAAATATTAATTTTAACTAAAATGACTATTATTTGAAAGGACAACATTTTTCCATATATATATATATATATATATATATATATATATATATATATACAGAAATATATTTATGCAGTTAATGCAGATAAATTATCTGCATTTACTTCCAAAACGATGTCATTTTGGGATTGAAAGATTAAAAAATTATAATTATAAAGACTATAATAATTCTTAAATAAATTAAAATTACAAAAATACTATGATTTCTTCCTCAAAACAACATCGTATTGGACTTACTGCAGATAACTTATCTGCAGTTAGTGTTGGCAAAAACGAGCCAACCCATCAGGTTGACTCGTAACCCGCCAAAAATGAGCCGGTTGGGTTGGCCAAAACGAGCTGCCAACCCGAGCCAACTCGGCTCGTTTCAATCCGTGAAAAAACGAGCCAACCCGCGAGTCAAACGAGCCAACCCGCGAGTCAAACGAGCCAGCTCGCAGGTTGAGTTTTTTTTTTTTAATAAAAAAACACAAAATTTAATATACAAAAATGGACAAAACCCACACATGTTGTCATCATTTTTCTTCCTTCTCTAAACCTAAGTCCCTAATCTTCTCACATCCCTGCCATTTTTTTATTGTTAGGCTGTGCTGGCTCTGTTTGGTTCAAATATCTTACTCACTTGGTAGCAAGTGGTTCTGATTGTTTCTTGATATTGATGCAAATTTGTTGTGAAGAAAATTCAAAACTAAAATATTTTTCTTTTATTTCTCATTTTGTAACTTCTTGTTTAAGTTAATGGAAGCCACACAGCTGGTGCATTAATACTATATGGTCATTTAAATAGGCTGAAAACGAGCCAACCCGCGAGCAATTTTCGAGCCAACTCGCGAGCTATTTTTTCAAGCCAACCCACGAGCCATATTTTTGAGCCAACCCGCGAGCCAACCCTAACCCGACTCGGGTTGGGTTGGGTTTTCTGGCTCGTTTTTTTTTCTGAGCCAACCCTAATCCGACTCGTTTTTTTTCAGGTTGAATGCAGGTTGGGTTGGGTCGGGCCGGGTTGGCCCGTTTTGCCAACCTATCTACAGTAATTGCAGAAAAAGTGAACCCATATATATAGATATAGGGAAAAATATTTCTCCGGCAACTTGAGATAAGTTTATCTCCGGCATCATTAAAACAACGTCGTTTTGTTTATTTATTTCCTTATATTATTTGATTCACCTTTAAATGGTTATGATTTTCTTTTTCTCTCTCTTCCTTCATTACCATTGATCCATCTTTGTACGGTTATGATTTATTAGCCGGAGATAAAATTATCTCTGTCAGTTTGAGAAGTGATAAGCCCATATATATATGAAAAAAAAATTTGTTTATGGTGTAGAATTATTTTTTGTAACAGTAACATAAAAATAAAAGTAAGTGAATCTCGTTATCATGAAAAGAGAGAAAAAAATTAATGGAAACCCATCCATTTTTATATTAATATAGCAAAAAAAAATTTTATGCAACGAAAGCAAAAATATTAATATCATATATATATATATATATATTCATATATTTTATGTTCTCTTATAATTAAATTTATTTTCGCAGTGTTTATAAAAAAAAAGAAGGGTTTGTTTTTTCTGCAGTTACTGCAGATAAGTTATCTGCAGTAAGTCCAATATGACGTCGTTTTGGGACGGAAATCATGGTGTTTTTGTAATTTTAATTTATTTCAGGGTTATAATAGTCTTTATATTTATAATTTTTTAAGATTTCAATACCAAAACGACGTCGTTTTGGGAATAAATGCAGATAAGTTATCTGCATTAACTGCAGAAACATTTTTCCTAAAAAAGAAATTTATTGTCGCAGTGATTACAAAATAGATTTTTCGTGTATCAGATTTTTCACTAACTTATTTTTTTATTTATTATTTCTATCAAAAATATATTTCTTTTATGAATTTAATATCTCTTATAGAAAATAATTTATATAAAAAAAAAATTATTGTCGCATTGATTACAAAATAGATTTTTCGGGTATCAGATTTTTTACTATCTTATTTTTTTATTTATTATTTCTATCAAAAATATATTTCTTTTATGAATTTAATATCTCTTATAGAAAATAATTTTATCTCCTACACCTATATATAAAAATTTATGAGATTTATATTTTCTCTCTGCGTGTAAAGAATAATTTTATCAATATATCAAACACTTTCTTTTATTTGTCATTTCTTTGAAAAATCTTCATATTGGAAAAATAGATTGATGGGCTGAGTACGCCCATTATCCTCCTTGCTCTGTGTCAGTGGGCTTTTATCTACGCCTGAATTTGCAGCGTACTCGGGAAAATATCTATGGTACTGCTGTTGTACCCTTCACGCAGTGCATTTATTCAATAAAAATGAGAAAAGACTGTCATGCTTGTATGGAAAGGAGAGAAAAATATTTTTTTATTCAAATGTCACTTATTAAATGACAGATGTACCTACTGAATATGTACAAAAGATAATCTCATACTGGGGCTTCACGCTTTTCTCATCAATTCAAAATTCAGTCGCAGATCAAAGCCCACTGATATGAAGCAAAGAGGATAATGGGCGTACTCAGCTCATCAATCTATTTTTTCAATATGAAGATTTTTCGAAGAAATGACAAATAAAAGAAAGAGTTTAATATATTTATAAAATTATTTTTTACACACACAAAGAATATAAATCTCGTATATTTTTATATATATGTGTAGGAGATAAAATTATTTTTTATGAAAGATAATAAATTCATAAAAGAGGTCATAAAAAATTTAATTATAAGAGATTAATATATATATATATATATATATTATTAATATTTTTGCTTTTGTTGTATAAAAAGTTTTTTTTTATATCCCATTAATTTCTTTTTCTTTTCGTTATAACGAGATTCACTTATTTTATTTTTATGTTAGTTTTACAAAAAAAAATTTCTACACCTTAGTACGCTGCAAATTTTCCATTATCCTTTTCTCAAAAACCCTTTGTGGGAAGAGCTCAGCTGAAGGAGTGAAATTTCAACAGAGGGCTGACCAATATCTCCTCACTGTAAGTCCAAGTTCTCTCTATCTTTCTTCCGATGTTTATGCCGCAGGATTCAATGATTCTATTGTGTTTTTTTTTATTTTATAGAATTTACTTTCCTCGTAGTTAAAAATTTATATCTTTTCTGTTGGTTTCAATTATGTTCAACTATGGCTGTACCAAGTGGGTAATACTGTCTTGTTTCTGCAGATTCAATGGTACTTGACCCTTGAAAATATGAAAGTAATAACCTTTGCTGGTGGCATAACAAAACCCAGTTTTTTGGTTGCCCAAACAGAAATGCCTATTCTAACATTTGGTCATTCTAAGTTGAGTGCTACCCTCGCTCTTCGTTTGCCATGTAAATGTGTTAGGAGGATGGGGTTGATTACAAAGCTTCAGTATTCTGTTACTGATAGGACATTGACCTCTAGTTCCGTGGATTCGCTGGAGTCTAAATCGGACTCCGGTCGATTGAATAGGAAGCGGGGAGGCTCTTCATCGTTATATATTCGTCCTAGTTTATCAGAAATGAAGAAAGATAGAGTGGCAATGCGTGAAAAGGTTTATGATTTCTTGCGAGGAATTGGCATTGTTCCTGATGAGCTTGATGGTCTTGAACTTCCTGTGACAGTTGAGGTTATGAGAGAGCGCATAGATTTTCTTCACAGTTTGGGGCTTACAATTGAAGACATTAACAACTATCCACTTGTTCTTGGCTGCAGCGTCAAGAAGAATATGATTCCGGTGCTTGATTACCTTGGTAAATTGGGAGTCAGGAAATCCACCTTCACTCAGTTCTTGCAGAGATACCCACAAGTGCTTCATGCTAGTGTGGTTGTAGATCTTGAACCGGTGGTCAATTATCTTAAGGGGATGGATATCAAGCCCAATGATATTCCTCGTGTTCTTGAGAGGTACCCTGAAGTGCTGGGATTCAAACTTGAGGGAACCATGAGCACATCAGTTGCTTATTTGGTTGGAATTGGTGTTGGAAGAAGAGAAATTGGAGGGGTCTTAACTAGATATCCAGAGATTTTGGGGATGCGTGTTGCTAGAATCATCAAGCCTTTTGTGGATTACCTGGAAAACTTGGGAATTCCAAGGTTAGCCACTGCTAGACTGATAGAGAAACGACCTTATATTCTTGGATTTGGGTTGGAGGAGAAGGTGAAGCCAAATGTCAAATACCTTGAAGAGTTTAATGTTAGGCGAATATCACTTCCCTCCATAATTGCTCAGTATCCAGACATAATTGGAGCTGACTTAAAGCCAAAGCTTATCAACCGGAGAAGTTTACTCAATTCTGTACTTGATTTGAATCATGAAGATTTTGGCCGAATTGTTGAGAAAATGCCACAGGTAGTTAGCCTCAGTAATGAACCTATGCTGAAACATATTGATTTTCTTAAGGATTGTGGGTTTTCCTTGCAGCAAATGAGGAAGATGATTGTTGGATGCCCCCAACTACTTGCTCTAAACATTGACATCATGAAACTTAGCTTTGATTTCTTCCAAATGGAGATTGAAAGGCCTTTGGAAGACTTGGTTTCTTTCCCATCATTTTTCACTTATGGTCTGGAGTCAACTGTAAAACCTAGGCATAAGGTGGTTGTTGAGAAAGGATTAAAGTGTTCCCTGGCATGGATGCTTAATTGTTCTAATGAGAAATTTGAGCAACGAATGGAATATGACACTATTGACATGGAAGAGATGGAAATGGAACCTTCATTTGACATGAATTCACTGATGCAACCAAGGAGTGATGAATCAGATTCTGATTATGAAGACAATGATGATGATAATGATTAGAATGAGTATGTTACTTCAATAACTAGCCTACTTGGGGAGAATTTTGATCTTCTCTTGGATGATTTTCATGCTGAATGTTTCGATGCTGTACCATTGGAAAGGTAAATTATTACGTGAGTACATGTGAAGCATTTGGAAGTGTTTGTATCCTAATTCTTATGCTTGTTTATGTGATATGGTATTGTGTCTAGTTTTCTAATGTTTTAGATTCCATCTCTTGTATGCTTCTATTCGCTCTCATACAAGTAGATCTACTGATCTCCTTATCATCTATAATATTTGAAGTACTGAAATTCTGTGTAATTGTGAATGTGACATTAGTTGACTCAATGAATAAGCTTTGCAATATCAGAGTGATTAGGTTCTTTTTAGTAATTACATGTTTGGATTAGCTTAATTTATTATTATAATTGTTATTGTTGTTGTTAATTGTTATTTTTATAAAAACATTCTCAGCTAAAAGCTCTTATGCAGCATTTTGATTATAAGGTTTTTTAAATGCAAAATAAGTTAATCCAAACACAACCATTCCATTTTACTCCCTCTTTCTCCTCAAACTTCCATTCACCGTTATTTGTATATTCTTTATTCTCTTTGTAATATGTACATGTTTACATTTTAAAAACTTTCCAGAAAAGGATGAAGAACATTTCTATGTATTTGGCATTTAATAGAGCCTAAAATGAATGGGATCAATCTCAGTTTAATATGTAGTCCATGTATGTCAAACTGGGATGGAAGAATGAGAAGTGGCATCAGCCAAGTTCATTGTTTGTGGTCATGCACAAGTATGTTTTGTTGACTTTAGGCATACATTTTACACAATATCCTTTGTGTTACTATGCATTGTTCATGATGTAAACTTTAAAACTTGTTGATGTTTACCTTTGACAATCTTATTTTGTTTTAATTTTGTGAATGTTATAATGGAATAAGTGCGATTGTATTGATTTCTTTTTTTGCTAATGCAGTTATTTAGCTAACAATCATCCCATTGTCCTACTATCTGGTTACACATTTACTCGTTTTTCTTTTATGCTTGAATATTAATATGCATCACATTTCTTTTCTGGCCTCCAGCAATCTCTGTTATAACAAGGACCACGGTGACATGTTCAGCTCCTGGAGACCAGCTTAGGCATATATTTGAAAAGTGAAGGGTACCTATCATGAGTTCTATCCCTATCTCCTGGTGGTATGTTCTTAGTTTGTTATTTTTCGGTTGAAAGAAAAGGCCCTTCGTAGAGGTTAGCATTATCTTAATTTTCTCTACTGTGCTTGTGTACTTTTATATAATATATCTTTTACTTGCTTTTCCTTGCTATTACAAATAAGTGAACCTGGAATCCATCTTGAATTTGGTTGGTAAAAGGAATGTCCATTTAATTCCATTTATATTTTGCAATTTGCATACTATGCTGCCACGGTCTGCTGCTATTATGAGCATGAGAGCATCTCACTTCACGTGCTGGCCTGAAAAGCGAAGCCAGGAAAAAAAAAAAGGAAAGTAGGAAAGGTACTTACATAAAAAGTGAGGAAGTTAAAGATAAAGTTAAAGCTAAAGCTATACTACCATATTGCATTACTAAATTATTGACATTTAGTCTAAACGTCAAAAACTACAATTCCAACCAACCCGAATGACTCTTTTGCTTTACAATTGGTTCACCTTAGCCGTCAGTAGCCTCAAACTGATATAGTAATACTTTGTACACAATACTTGGGGTCACAACTGACCACAACAACACAAGTATTGGAGTTGGAGATAGATTTGCCTTGTTGTATCTAAGATTTCGGGGGACACTTTCTCGCACACATCCACATTTCACATCACTTCTCACTAACCAAATATCAAACTTATATAACTAATAAATTACTTATAATTAACCACGGGATTAGTGGCAGGAATTTTGATTTAGTATACCATAAATAGTTTTAGTTAATGGTATGTAAATTATTAGTTAAATGAGTTTGATAATTGGTTAATTAATGTGATTGTGAGGTGATGCATATGTAAGTGTACCTACCTACACTTAATTATGTAATCTACCAATGATAAACAGCTTAAAATTCTAGTGTTTGATGTTTAGAAAGGAATTTGTGTTTTGGACGTATTTCTTATTGCAAATCTGAGACTTTGGAAATAAACCATATAGACCCACTTAGAAAAGAGATAAAGGTGTTTCCCTTGCCTTTACGGATTAACAAATCACATTTGATGCTGGTGCAAATGGCATTCTTTGCGGCATTTGTCGTATATGGCCGCAGTATAATGGTAGATAATTACAAGATGCAATAGTAATTTGATGTTGACAATCTATGTGATCAATCAGAAAATTGCTGTATCAAAAGTGAGCTTGAGGATTCAAGTTACAAACACATTATGAGATTTGAATGCTTTCATTTTCTTTGATAACATTACACTATCATGATATGAGAGAAACTCATAATTTGCTTGCGTGCATCATTGCTGGGCTCTGAAAAAAATATTATGTAATCATCGCATGGGATGGCAGTGTTCTTGCCATTAGAATATTAGAAGAAATGGATTATTCCCTGTGTAAGGAGGGAAACAATTTACAATAAGATTATATATTGTTTATCGATGAGTTACCTTAAAATTATATTCAAATTCTAGCTTTGCAATTAGCCAAATCTCCACTTACTAGGATTAATCTCCATTAAGGCAACACCAAAGGACATTTATGCTTATTTAAGTACTTTTACTTTTTCAAATCCTGTGCAATTTATGAGGAAGAAAACCGTGGGTTAAAATTCCTTTCTTTTTGTTTTTGGGTACATACGTCGGTTAAAATTCTTGTCCACACTACCTTTAGTAAAAAATGTTAAATGGTACAAAGCAAATCCAACTTTATAATACGCGCTTTAATAAAGGTTAAAAGCATGGCTTTGTGGATTGACACAAGCTGAAGCAAAATAGCACAATAATTGCTGCAAGATTTTTTACTTTCCTTGATGCAAGCACCTCCGCTGATAAGAAGAATTGTGAGAAATACATTCGAAGAACAAGAGATCAAAAGATAACGGAAAATAAAGAAAAAAATACGTATGATTTGTTTGTTCCTGAAAATATTTTATCCACCAGAAGGGAGTCAAAGAAGTGATACAATGAAAACGGGGGATTCTTTTGTCAATTTTATTTTTATTTAATTTTCTCATAAATAATTATGGAAATATTACATTGTTTTGTTTTGCTTCTTGTTTTCAAAATTTTGTGAAAAATTTATGAACACGTTTTCACAATTTCCTTCATAGAAATTCAAAAACAAAAAGTAAAATGAAAACAACGTGAGAAAGTATAGGCCTATTTGGTTTGAATAGAGGAATTTTTGTTTTCTATTTTCTGCTTTTATAAATAATTGTAAATATATATCACCTTATTTTCATTTTATTTCCTATTTTTAACGATCTCTAAATAAAACGGTGAAAACAACAATTGTTATTCGTATACAAATTTTTGAAAACAGGAATCAAAATGAAAATAATGCAACACTATTTAACTATTAGTCAAGATAGAAAATATTTTTGCTTACCAAAAAAAGAAAAGAAAATATTTTCTACAAAAAAAAGTGCCTGATGTGTTTTAAGTTTTAATTTTTAGCTAATAAATTTTTATTAGTAATTATAAAGTTTTTTTATTATATTCTTGATATTAAACTTTTGTTAAATAAATTTGAAGACAAGAAACGTAGTGACAGTTTGATTTTAGTTTTAACTATTTTCTTCACAAAATTTTAAAAATAAGATACTAAATGAAAATAAGGTATTATTTTTATAATTATTAATAAAAATATATTATTTTATATATAATAAGATGCTTATTATTTGACATTGTTCATGCATTATATTGGATGTTTATATATTTACAACACCAGCTAACAAATTTAGATTGTCCAACATCGAGTTTTTTGAAAATTCGAATAAATCAAGCTACAAAATATTACAAGTATAGATGCAATCTGTGTAATTTAATGATTCTTGTATATATATCTATATCATTATTTTCAAAAGCATTTTAATTTATTTTAGTTGATCAATTATTAGCTTTGCTTTGACTGTTTATGTAATTCTTTTGTTTCGGTTGACACGGTTCTATCTCTTGAGGAACTCTAAAGTTGACTGTGCTTTGTTCAACTTTAAATAGTTACAACTCTATCTAGATAGAAACATGTGACAAGATACAATTTGTAACATATTTTTGTTTCTTTTGCTTTTCTGATATATCAAAATCTGATTTGTTATCTTCATTCTCCACTATCAATACTGTCAAGGATAGCTTGAATGATGGCCTAGCTGAAGTTCTCCTCATCCTCCTTGAAAGTATTGATCAATTTAAACGCATCCATAGATAAATTATTTCTTAACAGCATTTAAAAAAGAAAAAATTGAAGCATGGTGAAATAGTATTCAATAGCTTCTTTCATATTTTTTAATTTTTTTTTTTCATATTTATGCTAGAAGGTTTTTTTTTTTTTTTTTTTTTTTTAACTTGTTCTTTCTTATTTGTCTTATGAGAATACTTATGACATTTTTAGAAAACAGACCCTACAACTTGTGCAAGTTCAGACATGTTTGCTAAGTGCTGTCATGCTTCGTTTCTTTGAGCCATTTTAGATGCAAATTTAAAATAAAAAAAACAAATAAAAAAAACAGAATTGATTCAAAATGTGTACACTATTCAAACTTTTTGAAGCTAAAGTGAGAGATTTGTATATTAAATAGTAAATTTCTCATGTAAGTTTCATGTATCTCTATAGTGGTAACTTTGTTATTAAGTGTCATGTAAGTTTCATTTAAATATTTATTGTATATTAAATAATAACAATAATATGAATAACAACAATAATAATAATAACAATAATAAAAACAATAACAATAACAATAATAATAACAACAATTTGTATGAACTCACCTCTATTTCAAGAAGCTCTACATGGTGCATCTAACCGAGCTACAAAACGATACTACAAAACGATAGATGCTTAAGACCCCTATGCAACAACTATACAGACCAATCCTTCTTTCTTTCCTTGCAATCTTTTCTTTCAACCAGCAAAGATAAATGGGGAAAACAGAGTGATGATTGTTACTACTTCAAATGTCATCAGTAATGCAGGGTATGTGAGAGAATACTAGAATGGTTTAGCTTCAAAATGCCCCTTGAGCTTTCTTGTGCTATGCCTTGTCATGTGTTATTATTTAACACTAGTCTTAATACTGAAAACCTAAGCTAAGAGTGCTCCCAATCATTGTCAAGAAATCATTTGGGAGCATGACATTCTTACAGGTGAGAAAACTACAGTGAGTCTTGCATGATCAGAAAGGGAGTAGTCTTCAGGCCATCTACCTTTCTCCACCTCTGGAGGGAACAGAACTGCATTTTTTACACTAAAACCAATTGTTTGCTCCTCCTCACTATTATTTGCCTCGTTAGCCTGCTTCACATTTATGTTCTCATCTCTCTGATCTGATCCAGTTGGATTCCAGATTTGTTGCTGAAACCGCATAATATCATGACCATGATTTAGCCCATAAAGTTTTAGACGAAGATCCAAATGGTTTAATCAGTCTAAGTATGATTATATACTGAGACAGTGCTATGGTAGGACATAATACTAATGTTTATCCATATTATGCACAGGAACATGTTATGACCCATATGCCAGAAATGGTTTATCTGAATTGCACATATGACAGAACTCCATAGTTCAAATGAATTTTTGTCTAATGGCATGGAATCAATAATACTTATTATAAGATAGACTATTCCAAGAAAAATTGCTGTCATTGATGCATTACTACATGTCCTATGGAGAAAAAGCATTTAGATTTTAAGGTTACACTCTCAACTTATCCTAAATTTATAGTCATTGGTTGCATAAGTCTAAATTAGTCAAAGACTTCAGAGGCTTCTCATAAGAAATTTAAATAACAGCTAATTTTATCTGAACTACTTTACCAGAAATTCTTTATAATCAAGAACACCATTTCCATCTATATCTGCTTGAATCCACAAATCCTTTGTCTCTTCAACACTTAACCCATGGCAATGACCAATTAAATTAAGCTGCACATAATGGAAAAACCTTTATTAACAAGAGGGCTTCTCAGACAAGTGCACAGACTAACTGAAACTTTGAAGTTCACATTCAGTCATCTAATAGTTAATACTACGCCATACCTGTTGAAGTGCTTCACAGAAACCAGAATAGGTAATACAATCTTCGTCTCCAGCCTTTAAAAAAGCAAATGCATCACTTTCTGTCAGTGAAGCTCTTCGCAATAGATACTGAAAATGGAGAAATTTATCGTCAGTGACAGAATTCTGTTCCACAACAACAGTGGAATCCACAAATACAATTAATGGTATGGTGCTAGTTTTGAACGGGAAATAATGTTAAATATTTAAAAGTTCTTGCAAAGATGGTTAAAGATTACCTTGAACATGCCAAATACTGCTTCACTCCAACTTGCTTTTAGTAGTTTACCATATTTGTCAGGATTTAGAAGCCATATAAAATCAACACCACATATATTTCCCCGATGATTACGGTGGCTAACCCACTGCACTGACTCAACATAAAACAAATATGAGTGATGAGCATATTATCTAGATGAAAATTTCTGAAAGCAGTGCTAGTCATGTTACCTTGTGAGCATCTGCATCAGTGTACTTATGTGCAGTATCATATGATGATACAAACCCCTGAGACCTCAGGAACTTGTAAACATGTCCCCGTTTGCTTCCATTCCAGTCACTGGAAAATAAAAAATTATGTACAAATCATTAATTGTGATTCAAGTGTCTTAAAAATAAAAGAATGTAAATGGAACTCTATTTGAAGTTTACCCGCAAAGCATAATTGGCATAGGCTTAAGTTGGTGCTCTTTCTGATAAGATTCCACATATTGAAGTATCTTGTAGACCTGTAGAAAAAGAAAATTTTAATGTATGTCTGAGTGAGCTACCAAAACTAAATGCTTACATACCTGATGCAGTCGTACAAGGCAAAGACTCGAATCATGAGGAAAAAGTAGGTGAGTGTTGACAATAAGAATTTCCTGCCTAATATCACTGTTTTGGCATTGTGAAAATGGAAAAGCTAACTCAACATGTAACAATTGAGCTACTCGATCACCACAATCATTGAAGTGCAACTCCTTATAATTAAGGACTGTAAAATATTCCTTTTGCACCGCTATCAGAAGACCTGAAGATTCCAAATAAAACTTCATATGAGCATTTGTGCATAAAAATTGAGCTGCTAACAAAACCATGCATATGGAAAATAAAAGTATGAGAGCCTGATTAGCATTTAAGCTGTCTGAAAGAGTTTCATTAGTTAGCAAATAAAAAATAGAACATGTTTTTCATCAATATAAACAAATCTTAGAGATGTCTGATCCCTTCTTCAACATTTCTGAACCTATCACTCAGGTAGTGTTTCCATTATCCACTTCAATAGGCCAGTCTATCGGATTGACACTTCAATGTCCCATGGAAAAAATGGTAACCCATAAAAGTTGTATAACTGGCGCGAGTATAATTTCCATGGACATTTTCTTTTCATTCTTGTTTTTTTTAATGGACAATGGAAAAGACCAAATCTCTTGAAATCATAAGCTTTTATGTGAAGGCTCATGAATAACTTTACTACATCTATAAGGTACGGTTATCAATAATAAAGATGATCAGCTTGAAACACCCAAGAAAATAAGAATCCAAAAGGGTAATTTCTAACTGAGGGAGAATCTTGCATACCATCACCACGGTTGTTAGTCCGTCCAAGCTTGAAAATAATATATCCAGCATCACCAAGTCTCTTCTCATACAAATTAACAAGCTCTTCATTTCCAACCCAAAATTCCTTTACAAATCCAACATATCAGCGCCATCACACATCAAAAACAGATTTCATCAGAAGAACAGAAAAATCAAGTTTTCATGGGAAGTTGGAAAGCACAACACTTGTGTATTCAATAAAACATGTTAGTATGCTACTATTAGCATTTTGCCCATTCATTGAAACTCAGCCCAAACAAAAAGGCCATGAACATGCAAACCTGAAGACAGATAATGGAAGATCTCTCATATAACAACCAATCCAATATCCTGTGATTCCTGGCCAACCAATACACTCTGTGGTCGCTTTCACGGCAACTCAGGTCCTGCTTCCACCCCACCAAATCAGAAATCAGAAAAAAAGAAAAGAAAAGAAAAAGCATCCAAATTTACACTACCCCATTTAAGGAAATGACCAATGCAAAATATGGAAACTCATAATGCAAAAGAAAAAGAAGAACCTCATGGTTGACGCGCTTATATATGGGAGCAAGAATGTTAAAAGTGGTGCAAGCAATACAAGGTTGTTGTTGGTTTTCCTGTATTGAAGTGGCAATTGCATAACTTGCAGTCCTTGAAATTCTTCCCATGTTCTTAGAACTGCTCCTATCTTTTCTCAAATATCAGTATATATGTCCAAATCTACCAATGCTACTCTATATGCATAATATAACATTTATTTACACAATCTCTCGCATAACCCCACCATTTACCAACTTGAATGAGCTTGGAAGCTATAAACACGAGCCACTGACAGAAAGTGTCTCCTTTTTTCTTTTATATATGAGGGTCCACAAACCAATTTTAACTTTTTTTTTTTTCTCGAGAAGGTAACCAAAATTCAACATGTTTCTAATATCTATATGATTTTGAAACGAGAAAAAGAGAATCGGATAGGAAGCAATGTAGGATGAATATGCTTAGTCACAGTTGAGAGTGATACATCAATATCAATTAAGCCTAAATTTTTTATTTGAAGTGACTTTTAAGGTTTCTAATACCTTATAGTCTAAAGTTAAAATAAGTTAAAAATTTTGTTATCTTCTCAAGTTATTATTTTATTCAACTAGTGAAAAGTAACTTTTACTTCAGATTTTAATATCTTCATTTTTTCACTTAATCAAGTCATATAAATTAAGTGTGTTTCATAAGGTGGGGAAAACATGATTAAAACATTATTTACTTATCCGTGAATCTCATTTTATATTCTCTCACATATACAAGCATCTTATAACCTACATCAAATGAATAAGATTTTGCACACTATCAAAAGTAGTGTCGACTATTCTTGATAAAATCGTACGTATACAATATTAGCACCAAAACTTGTATATATTTAAATGTCCAGAAAAACATTATTTTACAATAATTTCATCAAGTCAAAAAATAATAACGACAAGTAGTGGGAATAGAATAAATTCTCTTTGGTATCTTTTAGGAGCGAGCAGTGTGGTGGGAACCGGCCCACCGAAGGAGTTTTTATCTTTAGGCCGAAAGTTATAGAAAGATGAGAAAAATACGGGACACCCAATCAATGTCTGTTTTCTGAAGCCAACAAATGGATTGCTATCATTATGGATTCGGCGGTGCCTTATTTTTCTATGGGTTCGTTTTTTGTCATGTCATACGACAAGATTATTTTCTTGCACACACAAATTAAGTGTAAGTCTCACGCTTAAAAAAAAAAGTCAAACCAAAATCAGGATACGACACCGTATCTTCAAAATACGTTGCCGGATCCTTGTTGCAGGAATGACAGCAGGAATAAACAGTGTCATTCCTACAACATAATTCTTATATTTCCCTTTTTCTATTTAATACAAATTATAACTGAATGACTAAGTTAGAAATTATGTTCAAAAGGTAAGAATTTATACAGGAGGCTCCAGTTCAACGTAGAGTCACGCGAAAAGTAAAAAATTACATGTCAAACTCTTATCTTCTTATACTACTTTTCTATTATCCTGCATTTTTAAGTCCTTTACGAAATTAAAACTTCGTTGAAGGGTAGCTAACATATAAGATAGGAAGAGAATATAACATTTTTTTTTAATATAAACTCATTGAATGAAGGGGAATGTAATCGAGGGAAGTTGTGAAGGAATAATTGGATTGGCTAGAGCTATTGTGGTTTGGGATATTAACGAATCATCACATTTTATAAATTTAAAAAAATGTATATCTCTTATAATTTAGGCACGCCTGATATTAACTTTCCTTGCTCTTTAGTAGTGTTTGGTTGAAGGTTTATTTTGAGATTGATGAAAAAGTGTAAGTGGATATTGGAAAATACCACGTTTGGTTCAGGTTTTTTCAAAAAATACCAGGTAAATAGGATAGATGGGAAAATGACTTTTGTGTTGATTTTTGGATAAAATTTACTGCTACAGAATACCACTTGAGATGTGGTATTTTGAGATAACTGAGGAAGTGAAAAAACAGGTGCAAAGTTTCTCCTGAACATAGATTTTGCATATTTAAATAAATTTTCCTGGTAATATTTGGGTCAACCAAATAACTTTTTTTACATTTTCCTACTAAACTCACTTTCCAACCATTTTTCTATCAATTACATTTCCCTAGTAAAAAAAAATTTCTCCCGAACCAAACACTACCTAAATGTCTATGGATGAATCCTTTCATAGGCAAGACTACAACACGATGAGATCTTTCAAGCTATGACACAGGAAGGGGAAAGAGAGATGTGTGTGCACTATCTTTATTTCAAAAAAACATAATTATTAAGCTACTAGAATTAATTTAATGACGAGAGATTTGAATAATTTGCATAAAATCGTAGGTTAAATCTTGGTACTTTCATTATATATAAAAGGGAAGTGTTGCATTTGTAATTTTTTTGTTTACAACTCGTACAACTTCAACTATATATTTCGAGAAATACAAATATTTGAAAATATACTTCTTATAATACATAGTTGAAGTTGTAAGAGTTATAAACAAAAAAAAAAATTATAAACATAACTTGTTCCTATATAAAAATAATGATTATTCACCTGATAAAATGGATATATACAGAGATAAAATATAATCCTAAGATTACTTGAGCCCTTCTTATATATTAAAGGCCAAAAAAAAAACCTTTATCTAATGAACACATAACCCAACAAATTCTATACTTCACATCATCGTCCAACTTCAATATGAAAAGTTGAAATCAATACAAATTAGGTTACAAAGTCGTTAGCAAACGAGAACGCTATAAGATAAAAGGGAATCTATGGAAGCTTGTAATTTTCGCTTAATCATCCAACTTCAAACTTAAAATTTGAAACCAATTTCAATTATGTTACAAACTCGTTAGCAAAGAGAATATATTTTAATCCAGGTAAATTAAATTGCTTTTACTTTTTAGTGATTTGATCTGATTTTTTTTTATTATGTCTATTTTTAAATTGATGTTTTCCTTTTTAAAACTTTTTTTGGTTACAAAAGTGGAAAATCCCTTTATATAAGAGTATAGATTATTAGATTCACTAAAATTAAAGAGTTAATTATCAGCTAAATTTTTTGATGGATTTGAAGCAGCTAATAAAAGCAAAAAATAGATTTAATGTTTCCGGTGGGCCCATGAGCCCAAACCACCTGAAACATCTTTTAATAAAATAATGAAATGCTACAAAATTTTCGGTTGCTTTGTAAAAAAAATAAAAAATAATGTAAAAACTAAAACATTTTTTTCCTAAACTTTTCTAAAAAATGTGTATATTACATTGATTTGCACATTTGGCAATGGTAAGAGACACTTAAACGTATTATTTTCTTTTTATGTGATTAACAATTATATGAATTACACATGTTTTAAATGGTTACTCGAAGTCGAACTAATTGTGATATATTGGCTCAACTTGTGCTTGCGAATGTCGGGAATAAAGTTAGAGAACAAAAAAAAAAAAGTTTTATCAAACAAACAAATAACTCCTCCTAAAACTCTGCTTGTGTAAAATAAGAATATTTTAATTTTTTTTATAAACCACAGATATTTTTTTATAGAAGATAATCCTGTTTGACGAATTTAAAATTTAGGCTTTAAATTCTCCCAAAAATAATATTAGAGAGGATTGAACACATGCTATTACTCCCACATGCTCATCTTCAATGTGTCAACTATTCAAAAGACTAAAGGGAAAAATAAGAATATTTAATTACTAAATTATTTTTTTCTGTAAACACTGAATTGTTTGTTAATAATACTTAATTAATATATTATTTGTAAATATTTTTATAAATTTATTAAAAGTAGTAAAATATCTTGATCTTAAAAGAGATTACATTTTATTCTAAACTTTTTTTAAACAGAAAAACTAATTCAGGTGAAATTATTATGATTAACTAGAAGTTTTATATATATATATATATAACTAGAAGTTAAAATATCAATAAAAAAGACAACAAGAAGAGGTTTAATTTATTTAAATTATAATATTTTTACAATAATATAAATTTCAGAAACTATGCCATCTCCAGCAGCCATGATATTTCATTTTGATTTTCTTATATAATATTATATAATAATTAAAGAAAAAATATTTCTACTTTTCCTATAAAAATATTATGTCTGTTGCCTTTATATAAAAGTGAATAGTTTCTATCGGTGTCTTAACTGAATGGGTGGCTTAAAGTCTCAATAATTCTTTTTGTGCAACCCTCAGGAGTGGGTTTCACTTTTTGAGACTCAAGCCCATTTTTAAAAATCTAGACGTATAGGTGCGAACTTTAGGCCCATATCATAACAATAGTCACAAGAATTTCATTTGCATACGCTCCAAGAAATGGTACACTCATTCCTTAAATAAATAATGCAAGCTCCTCCTAATAAATAATAATACATGTATAAGAAAGAAGTAAAATGAAGCTTCTTTCTTTGTAAAAGAGAATGCCTAGTCATGGAAGCGAGAGAGAGAGAGAGAGAAAAATTGCACAAGGGCGCAAGAACAGAATAAGCTTTTCTGCTACCCTGCCCAATGATGTGAATGGTGCTTTTGTAGGAAATCTTAGATTTATGCGGAAGCGGTTTAAGACCTAGTACATTGGTATGCTTACCAAATCATCCTTGTTTCACAATTACCTCTCGGTGCGCAGGTCTCGTGTAGAATCTTCCCTTGTAGGATTCCTCTTCACGAACAGCTCACCTCAGCGCCACAGCACGAACAACCTCCTTGAAGCTGGACTATGGCAGATCTTCCAAACTATCTCTCGAGGAGGAAGGAGAAGTGTGTGGGCACTGATTAGATTCAGAGCTTGCCTTTTTCTCACAAAAAAGACCTAGGAGGCTGATGACTTAAGAGGTACTATTTAGATGGGTTCTAAGAAATCCTAGCTCATTGGGCTCTAGGTTCCTTGGGCTCTTCTCGTACTAATAACCCATTTGGGCTTTAGTAAAATAGCAAACCCAACAGCTTTTGCTAATAGTTTCTGTGCTGTAACTTACTCTGCCAACCCTTTTGTCCACATAAGAAGTTCAATTCTTGAGATGATCGACAACGTGGGAGTTCATGATTGGGATGAAATGGAGGACTTGGTTTACTGTTATATTGCTCTCAACTCATCACAGCTTCATGATATTATATGTCAAGCATTTATTAGTTTATGTTGTTCACTTTTGTGTAATGAAAGGGTAAGTAAGCTAAGTAGCTAATTATCAATTTATAGCATTGTCTCTCACATTTACATTGTAATAATCACTAGCTAATGCCATCAGTACCATTCTCCTCACCACCTTGAACTTTAACATATTTTGATAAAAAAGAGGTAAAGTTCTCTACCTAGTTCAATTTTTCATTATTGCTATTTATTTTTTCAGCTTTGAAGGCAAATGTTGACAGAAGACCAATCCTACCTTAAAAGTTTTTTTTTTTTTTTTTCAGTTTCTGTCAATCTTTTCAATTTCTAAAACTACACTATTATTAGGTGAAGAACTTGGTACTACTATGGCTGTTGATTGCACCCCAGCAAGCTCATCATCAGCCATGGTTGTTGATACTTCTGCAGCTGCTACATTTGGTTGAGGCAAGCGCTGTTTCTCATTCTTCTTGCCCCACAAGAAGCAGTACAATCCCATTATGATCAAAACCATGCCCAGCAACCTACAAAAAGGTTTTAGATTAGTGATTATTATTTTATTTTTTTAATTTCAACATGTATCATATATAAGGACATAGCAAAGCTAGATTATCAAAGAAGCTTGTTGAGAAAAGCAAATCTGCTGGATCTTTAATGGTGTTCGTTCCTGCTAGTGAAGTTGACAAGTGATTCTGTTTTAATAGCTGCAGTTTCAAACCCCATAATGCCTATATATAAGGTACGAAATTTTAAGGAAAATAGAAAATTGGCATAGTGTCAAAAGAAGATTTTCATACGTTCCAACTTTTAATGGTTCACCAAGTATGATAGCTTCTGACAAGGCCACAAAAATAAGAGCCAGTGGATTGAACATTGGAGGATAAGTAGGTCCTTTGATCGTAATTGCCCAAGATATTAAGCAAAATGTAGCTGCCGAGGCCAGTGCTCCCTACACAAATAAAATCCCAATTGTTAATAACTTTTAAAGAGTGTTCAGGGTCCTCATTCAAAGTTTAATCTCTTAAATTATCACGGTTGATATAGTTTGCAAAATTTAGAAACCAAGCTACATCATGATTCATGATTTAGTTCTATTTCAAATTATTAATTAAATCTATAACTAAATCCTTATTATTATAAAGGGGAAGAGTCCATTTACAAATTTTTGCAAATTACACTATATACTTCCGGAATAATGTACTTCCGAAAGTACATAATGTAGTTTGTAAGAGTTTATAAATAAAAAATTTGTAAATGTAACCCCTCCCTATTATAAATTGTGAATGAAATTTGAGAGGCATGTATGTTACTATTGACTTTAATAATTTTTATATATAATAAGAAATCAGACAAGAAAATTGAACAATTTAACCTGAAATTTAAGAGAAATCATTTTAAAGTTTTAGAAATAGAAAAAGATAAATCAAGCAAATCTCTTGTGCATTATTTTGTTCAATTTCTGATTACTTTTTTTAAACTAATTTTTAAATTGAATTTACTAGTACTTGATATAAAAATCATTATAAAAATATATATTAAATGATACGAAAGATCTTGGCACTCAAATATTCCAATAAATAATGCTATACGTGGTCTAATTTTAATAATATTTATAATTTAGGTGTCCTAATAGTTTTAATCCATTCGATATGTATAGTAACTTCAATTTGAAGGTAAGCATTCAGTACATCTTACCGAGTACAATATAGTGATCAGTTGTAGATTCCACCCTAAACTCCAAGCAGCTTTTGTGTGATCCATGAATACGCCTACTATTGCTGCTTGAAATGCTGCCATAATGCATGTTAGCATTGTTGCCCAATACCTTAGCGGAAAAACTTTAAGCAACTTGACCTGTTAAAATTGAAAATAGCTATTTGAGAAACATAATAATCACATTAAAGGTATTTTTCACAAAACTGAAGAAATAGGTACCAGCTGGGAGTTGTGATGGTCCACTTATGTGTACTGTATTGAGTGTGAGTTGTTATATATTTATTAATTATTTATTTCACAATAAATGTTTACAACTATATTAATTATTTGACAGCTAACTCCAAATATGATATTCTTTAAAAAATAAAATAATCCAGAGTAATCCCCTGAAAATAAAGAGGCCAAGTACTACCAAAAAAATAAATAAATGATATTCACATATAAAATGCCAAAAGCAGAGAGATCTTCAGATGCAATATAGAAGACAAATGAAGCATGGGACAACTCATTCATACTTGCACAATAAACCAAGCTGTGTATGAGAAGCAACTTCCAACCAAAAAGAAAGTGCCACGAAGCATGTGGGTTTTGTGTGCCACAACATTAGCCTGAGTGTGATGACTATGATGACCAAGATAAAATTCCTTCCCTTTGTAAAGACTTGTAGCTAAAGCACCCCCAACACACAAAATTGCCCCCACACACTTGGCTTTACCAGCCCACGTTCCCAGCCCCAGTTTCTCCATTCTGCAGTAATTCATGAACCAATGCTGGTTATGCAAAAAATGCTACGCATATGGCATATTTACTTATATATATAGGCTGTGGTCTTTATGGATACCTGCATATGATAGAGGTAAAGAAGGTGCATATTGGAACCAAGTTGAGAAAGTTGACAGAGTAAGTAGCTGAAGTGTCTCGCAGACCATAATAGAACAATCCTAGAGCCATAGTCATCCTGTAATTGATGACATCACATTTTAAAAACCGAACAGGACAAGCCATCATTATTGTATATATATGTCACTCTATAAACTTGTAACAATTACATGCATATATATATATAAAAAAGTTAAAAGCAACAGAGCATGCATGTGAGTGTTAGCATGGACTAAGCATTTCAAAATAAATAATGCTGCTACTTCAGTAGTGTTGATATCACAACTATACAGGAAATTAAGTATTGAACTCTATTTGATGACTGAAAGAAAAATGAAGACAAACTACTTGACTCATATAAAGTTATTTCCAGCTGTATGTAATATACATTAATTGGCATTTTCTTTCAAATTCACATGATGGCTGAGGAAGAGGGTTCAGTTTGTATCGCAGGGGTTGAAAGAAAGGGACAAACACAAGTGTCCGACACATTGATATTGAAACTATGAGCAACATTAATAGGGAAAATAATCTAATTATTAATTTCTTCTTCAATTTTTGCGGTGAGGAAAGCCTCCAAAATCCAAATACCTATTACCATCCACCAAAAAAAGAAACAATTGCAGCATATATAACTGCAATTCCGCAAATTTGGTTGTTAGTAATTCGGCGCTACAAGAAATACACGAGTGTTTTTATTTAGTTAAGATCAATTTTAAATATGCAATGTTGCGGATAAACTCACTCATTTATTCTCTACTTTATTTTGGTCTAACTATCTAAAAAGCATAAATAATATTTATTGGTTGTTTTCACTTTTCAGCACAAAAAGGAATAGATTTGCTAAAAGTGTAGAAAGGAGATTAACTTTGGACGCAAACCTAAGTAGGGTTCCATAAAAAATAATTATAAAAACTGATAGCGCACTTCACACCAAACAGGACCACTGCATGCAAACAACTTGATTTGTACAATTTTTTTTGTAATTTCCATACTCTACAAATTGAAAGCGCCACCAACTTTTCTTCCCAGCACAGCCAAACCAATCACGTTAAACCACAATCTCAGATTCTCCATGCCTAATGTACCCAATATAATTCATAGAATGCAGGATCGGTTTAGTTGAAGGCTAATAAACTTCGAAAATAAACGTCACATTCACAGGTCAAATAATTGTTCTATAAGTGAAGGATGGACCAGCAAGAGGAGAACTTCTTCAATGTTTATAATAGGGGCCCACATAACAGGTTACATTCAATGATCATAATTTTCGTGGACTAAGGATTTTTAAGTATGAAACTTTCACGTCCAACAGTATTTGTTGGCTATAGACACTTTTGCAAGAAATGTTTATGCGAAATCAACTTGTCATATTTTATGAATGAGATTTTGGTCCAGCAATTATTTTTTAACTATGTACTTTCAAAAGTACATAATTAAAATATTAAAATTGTTGATGTAGAGAACAGAAAAAAAATAATTTTAATATTTTAATTATGTATTCTGAAGAATATATAGGTAAAATTTATTGCATGATGTCCTATCCGATGCACCAGATGTTTATTTATCTTCCTTTGTTTTTTCACATCACAAGAAGTTCATTTTGAATGAGGGTATTTAATAGCAAAAACTCTTTTTTGTCATTTATCACTTTACGCTCATATTTATTGTAAGAAAAAGCTCACTGTTGCACTTTCCAAGATGAACCAAAGAATGCTTACCCCGCTAATGCGTTAACAAAGATCCAAAACAAAACTCTCCAACTGAACTTCTTTGTGCGGCCTCTGCAACCACAACATTCAATAGAACAAACAAAAGGGTTGGTGAAAAACAACCAAACATTAAACATAAAGAGCAATAGGGGAAAGTGAAGTTCAACAAAAAATGTAGAACTTATAAGAACAAAGCAACTAGTCAATAGAACGCAAAAGCTTACCTTTCAAAGTAGAGTGCAAAGGGGGCAACACAAATGGCAGCAACAACATGACGATATGTAATGAGTGCAAAGATGAAAGTACCCTGAACTAATATAACCCTTGATAGTAGCTGCATCCCAGTTGCAAAAATTTGCACAAGTAACATGCTCAGCAAAGCCTGTGAAGACATGAACCATTCCTTCACAGTTCTCATGCTCTTTGCCTCTGCTTCTCTCTCTGTGTTTCCCATTCTCTCTGTCTAAAGGAAGAGAAAAACAAAACCAGCTAAATAAGGTGCTAAAATAGGTGCCTTTGTCTCTTCTCACAAAAGAGAAACAAATACATGAATAAAGAGAGGAGAAAGAAACGGTGTTATGCTAGCAGCTAAGGTAAACTATATATCTGAGACACACGCTCATGATGCAAAATCAAAAAGTCAATTAATGTAGAAATAAATGCTGGAAAGCTTTGGGAAAACCTGAAGGGACGATGAAACGGTGACAGATGCCATGAATTAGAGCAAAACTATTATGTCAGTGAACTCTCTGTGTCAGTCTGCCACTGGTCTCCATGTTTGTCACCATTACGTGTTATCCTGTGTCATTCGTGATTTATTAATAAGAGTAGCGATATGCATTATGTTTACAGTTGTTTTGGGACATTTCGTGGTTGGTGCTTTTCCCACTAAGAGTTTTAATATCTTCTATATGAGGAAGTGTCATTATTTGAATGAATTTCTTATAGCAAAGTTCAAATTTGAATAAACCATCGAAGTTGAGAAAGATGATGACAACAAGTGTTGCTGGCTTCTGGAGCCAAATATAGGTTGATATGGCCGAAAGTAACGACATCAAGATGGAGATAGAGTTACCAAAGTCGGCAATTTGGACTTTCCTTCCTTTTTCTTTTTTCATTTTGCTTTTGGGTTACTCTCTTGTTTTGTACTTGACTTCTGCAGTTATTTCTTAACAATATGTGGTAATTTTTTTTTCATATTATAACAAACATAAATGCTCGTAAATTTCATTTCGTGTTAAATAGCATTCCTGTAGAAAAACAAGTTCTTTCAGAAGATGATTTTTTGTTGTTGTTGTTGAAGATATTCTAATCGATTCATCACTTCGCGACTAGTCCGATTCGATATGGGTTTTGAGATCAAGGCTTTAAACTTATAATACTATTCCAAAAAATTAAACACATGTTCTCACCTCCATTGTTCAGCTACTATTATTTGGTACAAAAGATGATGTTTGAATGAGATGAGTATTTATTTCAAATGCGGTGATGGCTTTTATACATGACTCATAAATTCATTGTATTTATCTCTTTTTTTTTTTTTAAAAAAAAAACCTTAATTATTTAAGTATTTATTAGCAAAAAAGTTTAAGAGGCTATCTAAGATTTTTTTAAAGGTTAAAACCTACTTCTAAGATAAAGTTAAAAAATAAAATTAAAAATTGTTGGGAGATTATATAAAGTTTTTAGTTTAAAAATTATTTTAAAGCTCAAACTAAAAATAAGTTGTTTGATAAAATAATTTGTATTTTTTTCTAAAAAATTGGTATATACATCGTAAAAAACAAATTTCTCCAGCGAACTTTTAATTTTTTTTATTCATTATAAAAAAATATCGTTTATGGTAAGAGTTTTTACAAAAATATGTTTAACTAAGTTTTTTCTTTAATTATATGAAAAAAGAGAAACTGAAAAAATAACCCGCCAAATGAGTACTAAGAGCCTGTTTGGATGAGTTTTTTTTTTCAAAAGCTGATTTTTTTTCAAGAAAAAAAGCACTTCTCGTTTTTAGTTTGTTTGGATGTTTGTTTAAAAAAAAAGCAGAAGTCACAAAAAAACCAAAAATTTACTTTTTTTAGAAGTTAAAAATTTTAACTTCTAAGAAAAGCAAAAGTCAATTTAAAAAAAAAAAAACTAAATATTTTTATAAAAATATAAATGGTTTTAACTTTTATAAATAACACTTCTAAAATAAGGAAGAGATAAAAATTATTTTTTTTAGAAGCTCAAACAAACGAGCTCTAAGACATGTTGTAATACCTTTTGATGTACTATTTACTTCGAACTAGCGCTTAACTCGTGCAGTCCATGAAATATTTTTGTAATGTTTTAAAAAATGTTATAATTTTGAAAACTCTCATGTTAAACGGACATAAATTATAATAGTTACTTACCAAAACATTTACTATAACAAAATATGTAGATAAATTTCTAAATCATTTATTAAAAGAGAACAACCTAATTGAAAAATTAAGAATAAAGAAAAAGTTCCAAAAAGACAATTATTTGATAAAGGGATTTTTAAAGATATAGGATATTATGTCTACCTTCTTTTTGCGCCCATTCTACTTATTCTTCTTCAACAACTTTAAATCACAACCTCAAGAGAAGAGAAGAATGATGAAAATTAATTGAAATTGTGATCTAACTGTATTGAAAAGGAATAGGTAGAGTAGGCAATAAAAAACATATTACTAAATAAAATTTGCTTTACGCTACAAGCTAATGAAAATTACTAAATAAAATTTAAAACTTTTAAAATTTCAAATATGCATACGAAATGGATGAAATCAACAAAGCAGAAAAAGAAAAAAAAATAGAGAGAGCTTCCAAAAGAAAACAATGTTCAAGTAATCCACACTTTAAACACTTGATCTGTAACTTTATTTGTAATTTTAAACATAATTCTAAGTTTCAATTTTTCTCTCCTTCTTTAATCTTGGTGTACTTGAGTACATTAAATTGTTTTAAAACTTTACGACCAATATATATTTATATATACAAACTTGCATGACAGGAATTAGGATATATGAATAGAGAGGGGAGAGAGATTCACCTTTTCTGCCACACTCAGAGTACGTAATCTGAGTTGAAATTATGGTGACCCTAACATGAAGATCCCATTGGTATCAAATGCAACAATGCAAACCTTGGCGAATGTCTTTAACTGCAACATTTGTTAGGACTTTCTTCAGCAATCTATAATATTATATATACAGGAATGAAAGGAAATTAAATAACGTTAGAATAACCAAGCGAAGGCTAGCTACCTTGAACAACGGAGTGTGGAGCTTATGATTCTGCTTGCGAATGTATATAGCTTTAGACTCTGCAATTAATGAATATATCTGTATGAGAGTTTTGAAGTGAAGAGAAAAAACACAAAGTTGTGTTTGATTTAACAAGAAAGAGACAATAGAGCTTTTTGTAGCTGACATGTGTTGAGGAGAGAAAAACTGCCATGCCATCTCATGTAGATACAATCCAATTGATAACTACCTCTCAGAAAAACAAGGGAGTTTGACTCTCCCATATAACTTAATTATATATTTAATTGTTAGAATCAAATAAAAATAACTATTTAATTACTTAATTAAAGAAATAAGTTTGCAAACAGAAAATAGCATTGATCATTTTAGCATGGGAAATCATTAGTGAGAAAAACAGTTCACTAAAATGCTTATAATTAGTTGGCTTAAATTTCGGTGATTTTCTCTTTTTAATTTCTATTTGTTATGTTTTGTTTTGTTTTGTTTGATAAAGTGTCACACTGTTCATGCCGCATCCATGAAATCCTTTCGTGTGGATTTGGCATTACATCATTTGTTTTATAAATAAGACGTAACTACAGTAGAGAATTATATGAATCAACCGATAGAGAAAATTGCATTTGCAATTTCTTTTACACGTCATAACTATTTACAGCTCACAAGTCAAATTTTAACTGTTTTTTGTAAATCAGTCATGGGTTTCCGCAAAGTTAAACTTCAATTAGACCTACTCAAACGGCTAGACAATTAAACCCACGTTTCTTTTTTATCGCCGTAATTTGTTTCTATTTATATCTAAAGTTTTTTTAAGCATCGCCACGTGGCAACATTTTAATTTTTAATTTCTTACGTAACAATTTTTTTGGTTTTTGACCTTATTTTTTAATTATTTTTTTCTTTATTTTAATGTTTTCCATTCATTCTAATTTTTATATATTTCTTTGACCTTTTATATCTTTATAATTTTTCAAATATCAAAGTTTATTCATTTTTAAGTATATATATATATATAATTCACTATAAAATATATATTATTAAAATATCCATAAATTTTTTTTAATTATATATTCAAAAAAATTCATTTAATCTTGATCTTATAAATTCTAATGATAACATGTGATATGATATTTTATCTACATCTTTTTCTGCTTATTTTCGTCTACTACTCTTCAATATATTAGATCAGAATCTCAACTACCTTTATCATTTCTTTTTTGTATTGAGATTCTGATCTAATAATATTTGAGAATAATTGACAAATGTAGGTGAAAAAAAATAGATAAAATAATCTATCCTTGTGCATAACATTGTTCGGGAAAATCGCCGTCACAGCTTTTTGTTTGAGTTATAAGAAATGCGATTAGAATATGCAATTTCAAATTCTGCATGTCGTCATGTACACCCTTTTCGTGAGTTTTTTGCGTACTTCTCCAAGGACCATTTATATAGTGGGTCCTCACTTGAACTAAAAAACAAATATTTAAATAATATTATGATTTTATTTTAATTTTAATTTATATTAGTGATATTAGCATAAGATGCATCTGTTATTGAAGACAGTGGCCCATGTAAAGAACAGAAGGGGTAGATGATCAAAATTATCACTGTGCAATTATAAATAAAATAAGAACAGACTTACTTGTCAGATATATGAGACAGAATGATAATGATATGCAGTATCAGAGGAATAAAAATCCGAGCCCACAGAACGTGTCTCCTTAAGACAATTTGCCCCCTCATCGATGCCAAAGGTTGATGGACACTTGTCTCCCAGGATAGAACGGATTTCGTCTGAAGAGTGGCGGCACTACCAGTCAACAGCCCAAACGAACACAACAAAATGCCAGAGGAAATCACACCGGAGTATGAAAAGGAACATGCAAAACCGGAAGGAGAAAAATTCCGGCAGAGTTTCAGTGCAGAAAAATTGGATCCATTTTCTGAAGGTGTCAGTGTCTATTTATAGACAACGTAAAGTCACGTTCCAAAAGGCACCTATTCGACGACGAAACAACACATCCGTTGGACACGAAAAGACACATTCGTTCGACACGAAAAGACACATTCGTTCAACACGAAAAGACACATTCGTTCAACACGAAAAGACACCCATTCAAGGATGAAACAACATGTCCGTTAGGATGAAACAACATGTCTGTTAGGATGAAACAACACATCGTTTAAG